AAGTTAAATGTGCACAGATAGAAGCCAAATTCTATGAGGAAGTTCATGATCTTGAAAGGAAGTATGCTGTTCTCTATCAGCCTCTATTTGATAAGGTAATAATTCTCTCTTTACTACTTTATTTAAAATTAGTACAAGCTCTGGAAATATAAACACTCTTGGAGGTGGGTTAGTCTTTGTACAGCTTACTAAAGTGGGTGTTAGAGGTACTTGGGGAAACCATCAATAGTAACAGTTAAGGTTGTGGTATGTTTGTTAATTAAATCTATAAGAGTCCTTAGTGAGAAACCATTAGTTTTAAGCTTGTTACAAGTGTGTTTATGAAAGCTTTTTTTTTTTTTTAATTAGCGATTTGAGATCATTAATGCAATTTATGAACCTACAGAAGAAGAATGTGAATGGAAACCAGATGAAGAAGAGGAAATTTCGGTTAGTACCAACTTTCTTTTAGTATATTTTTACAGTTGTCAGAAATATTAGAATTGTTAGGAAACGTTTTCTTTTATAAAATGCATATTGTAGATGAACCACTTCAACCTGGCTCCAGCTGTACCCAATATCATTTTTTCCTTGTGTTTTTGTAGTATTTCAGGCTTATAGATTTATAGTGTGTTCTTTTGAACTTTGTGATGGCGACAAAAGACTGTTTCCATTTTTCTATTGGAAACTTTTAAGTAACTTGCAACAGATAATGACAGAACTGACACCAATCCAGTGTTGTGTTTTTTTGACCCTGCTTTTCTCTAGCATTGCTATTTTAAATGTTGATTGATAAAGAGAGTATAATACTTTAAGAACATATCAAGGTAAGGCATTAGACAATTTACTATTTTGTTAGCTTTTCCTTTTTACTGTATTTTTAAAGTCTTTGTTTTTCATTTATCTTCCTAAAATGGTTTTCCTGATTCTAATAGTTTTTTTTTTTTTTTTTTTTTTGGAGAGGTGTGGTAGCTGTTATTTTGTTGAAATTAAGGTTTAGAATGGATAAATTGCAGTCTTTACACAATTAAACTAGAAGTTCATTGACTAAAAGTTAACTATTGGTGATAATAGATTTATTATTTCAGTATCTAGTTCACTGTAAGTTAAAGAGAATGTTATATATGACAGTAGAATGCATTACAATTCATATTACTTATAAAGACCACAAGTTTTCATATCTCTGCATGTACACAAAGTAGAGTCACATCCTTTGTTTCTTCATATATGTACTTAGGGTAATGATGACCATCATATTCCACCATCTTTCCTACCCCTCCCTCCCTTTTTCCCCTTTGCCCTATCTAGAGTTTATTTAATCTTCATATCCCCCCACGCCCACCCCACTCCCTGCAGCATATTATGGATTACCATCCTTAAATCAGAGAAATCATTTGGCATTTGGTTTTTTGGGATTGGCTAATTTCACTTAGCATTATATTCTCCAGCTTGATCCATTTACCTGCAAATGCCATGATTTTATTCTTTTAATGCTGAATAATATTCCACTGTGTATACATACCACTTTAGGTATTCAATAATATATATATATATATACTATCACTTATCAAGGAGGAGCTGAAAGAAAAGGCCAAGATAGAAGATGAGAAAAAAGATGAAGAAAAAGAAGACCCTAAAGGAATTCCTGAATTTTGGTTGACTGTTT